TCCTTCAAAAATTATTACAGGTAATATTTTTCCTTCAAAAATGTATTGCTGGTAATATTTTTTCTTCAAAAATGTATTGCTGGTAATATTCTTTTCTTCAAAAATGTATTGCTGGTAATATTTTTTTCTTCAAAAATTATTACAGGTAATATTTTTCCTTCAAAAGTGTATTGCTGGTAATATTTTTTCTTCAAAAATGTATTGCTGGTAATTTTTTTCTTCAAAAATGTATTACTGGTAATAATTTTTTTTCTTCAAACATGTATTGCTAGTAATATTTTTTTCTTCAAAAATGTATTACTGGTAATATTTTTCCTTCAAAAATTATTACAGGTAATATTTTTCCTTCAAAAATGTATTGCTGGTAATATTTTTTCTTCAAAAATGTATTGCTGGTAATATTTTTTTCTTCAAAAATTTATTGCTGGTAATAATTTTTTTCTTCAAAAATATATTGCTGGTAATATTTTTTTCTTCAAAAATTTATTGCTGGTAATAATTTTTTTCTTCAAAAATATATTGCTGGTAATATTTTTTTCTTCAAAAATGTATTGCTGTTAATAATTTTTTTCTTCAAAAATGTATTGCTGGTAATATTTTTTCTTCAAAAATATATTGCTGGTAATATTTTTTTCTTCAAAAATGTATTGCTGGTAATATTTTTTCTTCAAAAATGTATTCCTGGTAATATTTTTCCTTGAAAAATGTATTGCTGGTAATAATTTTTTTCTTCAAAAATATATTCCTGATAATATTTTTCCTTGAAAAATGTATTGCTGGTAATAATTTTTTCCTTGAAAAATGTATTGCTGGTAATATTTTTTTCTTCAAAAATGTATTGCTCGTATTATTTTTTCTTCAAAAATTCATTTCTGCTAATAATTTTTTACAAAAGTCTATTGCTGGTATTAAAACTTATTTTTACACTTTCATAGTGCTTTAACCCAAGTATGCGGGGTTAACTATTTGCCCATAGCTGGGACCCTAATAGGTGCTACCATCCCGGGTCAGGGTGGACCTGGGATCACCAGCAATTAATAGGTGGTTCCATGCTCCACAAAACCTCGTAATCAGATGCATTGCTGTTAGATGTAGATTATCGTCTTATCTCGAAAACGGAAGCAATTTATCGTCTTACCCAGGATGCATCATTTGAGGGGGGGTTTACCTCTTTGCAGAGGTGCAATCGGCGCATTCTGAAGCCCCAGGCTACAGGCCGCAAATAACTTTAAATTCATCAATTCACTTTATGGAACTTCAAAACCTCACTTTAAATCTGATTCGGGCTATGAGTTCAATTTCCGGCTGGGCCGATTTGGGCCGAAATTTCAATTCTGACCGAAAATTGAATTCTTCAAATCACAAACTCAGCAGAACTTCAAAATCTCATGTCACGAAACCTCCCACTTTAACTGCTTGGCATTTTGAAGAGATAAAATTGATTTCCTCAATTCAAAAATTTTTGGAGATATTTTAAACTGAGTTTAAAACAAAAAAAAATTAAATTCATAGTCTTTGTGTTACTTTAAACTCAATATAAATTTTTAAAAACTTATACAATCACTAATTTTTTCAGTTATTTTAAAATTTGAATTTATAACTTTTACTTCCTCATCGGGACGCAAATCCCAATGCTGGATATTCAAGCACCATATGAAGGGCATATTTTCAATACTGGCATCGTCCTGATTCTGAAAATGTATAATATACCTATGTAGAGCAAGTGTGGCCCGAGGTAGAGGGGTTTCAAATACACGGACGGGCAGATAGAATTTGCCGTTTATTTATTTAGATAAAGAATACCGAGAAAAAGAGGAATAGAAAATGCAAGAGAAGGAAAAAAAACAAAAAAAAAATATTTCGAAAAAGACAAAAACAAAGAAAAAGTGGAAAAAAAAATTAGAAAAAAGTAAATCTATATTTTTTAAGGTTTTATTGAAATTTTATTTAAGTTTCCAAATGTCCTCCATCATTAGCAATAAAAAGGTTAATACGATTTTGAAGTTCATGGAAAACATTTGCCAACTGATTTACAGTAATGCCTAAAATCACATTAGTTATTTTAGCTATACTTAAAACTAGGTACATTAAACTTTATAACATGTTTTACAGATTATTTCTATCGCAAATACAAATAAAGTTATAAATTTTTTAAAGTGCACACGAACTTTATGGACACACTGTATGAAAGAAAAAAAGAATAATAATATCTAAATGCAAAAAAAACTTCATCATTGAGCAATAGTTAGCAAGCTATTTTAGTCCTAGAACACTAACCATCAATTAAAGTTACACTACTACTAACCATGGGTATATCATACCCGATTTTGAAAATATCAAAAAAAAAAAAATTAAATATAAATCTTTACTTGAAATATTTTACATGCAGGCACTTCACACCTTGTCCTTTGAATTAACATTAATAGGAACTAAAAAACATATTACTTAGATAAGAGAATCAGGTACTGAAAATTGTAATTAAAAATAGGAAAATTTGCGCTGGGTACTATATACCCAATGGTTAGTGTTCTAGGGTTAAACGCCATGTCCCTTCAGGACGTAGGAGGTTCTAATACCCCAAAGATTCATTTCCATTATTATCTGCGAATTGCCGTGATTTCTTGAGAAAGATGGAATGGTTTCCAGTTGCCTTCTCCACAGATTTTTGAATTCAGAAATCTCAAACTAGCTGCTACTCAAGACTAGAAAGTCCTGTCTACTATTTAGCATAGAGCTAAGAAGAGCGAGACAATAGGGATTCGTGTCTTCCAGAAATACATTAGGAGCAATGGATAGCGGCTCGGATTGAGAAATCGGAGAACCGAGTTCGAATTCCAGTCGAATTTATTACATTCACTTACATACTAATACCCTCGGGGAATGTATAACATCCATCTAAACGACGCTGTTGTTTTGCTGAGAGAGTCCAAGTTTCAGAGCCATAGAGTAAGATTGGCTCAATAAGTACGTCGTTTAGATGGATGTTATACACGTCTTTTAAGAAGAGTGCTTAATCTCTCATGGCGAAACCAGCCAACCCTAGAAATGATATATGGAGAGTATCAACCTTAGTTTGCAAGAGACGTGTCCAGTTCGCCGGGCATTGTGCACGTGCCACAGATGAACTTGTGTCATCATTTGTACTCTGGAGGCACCCATCATCAGTCAATCGATCACGCAAGTTAACCTTTCCAGATAGGATAAAACGTGACACATTGATCCCTAAGGAAGATCTTTTAGGTGCTATGACAGATAGGGAATACTGGAGAGGTGTAGTGAGTTCAATCTCGGCTGAGGCCGCAAGATGATGATGATGATGATGATGATGATGGGGAATGTATTAATATTCTTCTCCTCCTCCCATCTATGGGTAAATAGCAGCTTCTATAACCTTGGATGGAAAGTGACCTAGCGCAGAAAGAAATGGCAATCTACTGCGGGAAAATAATCTACCTCGTCAGACATGTATCGAAAGATACAATATCGCCTAAGCGTGTTTCTGACTGATATTCATTTATGTGCTAATACCTTTGAGAAAGATATGAATCCTCTTCTTCTCCCCCCAGCTATGGGTAAATAACAGAACAGACCGGATTCTATGGCCTTGGATGACAACTGTTCTACCGCAGAAAGAAATGGCAACTTACTGCTGGAAAAAAATCTGCCTCGTCAGTCATGTATCGAAAGATACATGATCGCCTACGCGTGTATCACGCATGGCACATAATTGAACTGACTATTAATAATGGTTAGCATGCTAATTGTTTTTAAACATGTCCCTTCAGAAGGTAGGCATTCAAAGCTTTCTACGGTTTCTGTTTTATTATTATTATCTGCGAATTTCCACGATTTCTTGGCAAAAATAATGGAATTGTTTCTCGTTGACTTCTCCTCGATTTTTTTTTAATTAACAATTGTCCTTCTCTTAGAATAGTTGCCATTCAATGCCAGTCTAGTACAGTCTTCTAGAAGAAGAAAATATGGATTCCTGTCATTCGGAATGGCATTTATAGAAAGTGTTTAGCAATGTCTATCAAGATAATTTTTTTTAAACACCGTGTTCTTTCAAGAGGTAGACATTCAAATCTCTGTAGTGTCTCTGTTTCATTATCATCTGTGAACTGCTAAGATTTCAAAGGGGAAAAAAATTAGAGTGCTTTCTCGTTGGCTTCTCCACATATTTGGAATTCAAAATTGTCCTTCACTCAAACTGAGAGCCCATTTTCAGTCAGTTGTTTGCCATGCGTGATACACACTTAGGCGATCATGTATCTTTCGATACATGACTGACGAGGCAGATTTTTCGCCACAGTAGGTTGCGTCTTTCTGCGGTAGGCCACTTGCCATCCAAGGCTATAGAACCCGATCTGTCCTGCTATATATCCATGGTTGAGAGAAGAAGAGGATTCATACCTTTCCCAAGGGTATTAGCACATAAGTGAATATCAGTCAGTTATGTGCCATGCGTGAAACACGCTTAAGCGATCATGTATCTTTCGATACATGAGTGACGAGGCAGTTTTTTTTTTCCCGCTGTAGGTTGCCATTTCTTTCTGCCGTAGGCCACTTGACATCCAAGTCTATAGAACCCGATATGTCCTGCTATTTGCCCATAGCTGGGGAGAAGAAGAGGATTCATACCTTTTCCAAAGGTATTAGCACGTAAGTGAATGTAATGGATTCGACTGGAATTTGAACTCGGTTCTCCGATTCCTCAATCCGAGCCGCTATCCATTACTCAAACAAACCCATTACTAGAGGGAGGGGGAATATGTGGATTCATGCTTCAGAGGGGTATTTAGTCGAAAATGAGCGTAATAGACTAGGCTGGTATTTCAACACAGCTTATAAATTCCGCTTTCTACAACGACTCCCGTGATGTTAGACACAAATTCAGGATAGGCAAAAAACGGGTACAATTACCTCTATAATGAGATCTGGAAAAGGAGACGGTGCTAATAGCCTTGCTCCAAGCAAATCCATGTAAAGAACTCAACTGCCTAATAGCAAAGGTCAAAAGAAGAATAAAACGAAGAGGGTTTCGAACGAGAGAGATGAAAAAAAAAAAACAAATGATTATGAAGACGCAACTGTTTGATAATAAGTGCCGAGACATAACCGGAAACTATAAAGAAGGATAAAAAGTCGGGTAGACTTCGATGTTCTTCCGGTAGCCGTTCTGTTAAAAGGGTAGACCCCGGAAGTACGTTCAACGATAACGCGAGAATGGGTCATCGCGGATCGCGTAAAAAGCAAGCAAGCAAGAAAGAAAGAAAGAAATTGATCTTTATTCGTCAAGTCGAATCTACCCACACACCTGCCACCTACAATCCGGGATCTGTTGTAGATATCACGAAGTAATTCTTTTTTTGGTTGGGGTTGGAGGTGAGGTTGTGGGGTCAGAAATGAACAAGAGAACAGAAAGAGATAAAAGAAAGGTTGAAAATAAATTTTGAAGGATAATGAATGAAGACGTAGTGGCGGTGATTTTGGAGAAAAAAAAGAGAAGAATGAAGAAAGGAAAATCTGGAAGATAAAAATGGAGAAACTTCGAGGGAATGCTTAGTTTTGATCCTCATAAAATAAATTCTTCGGTTATTTTATGTACCAAGTCTGATCAAAAAATATCGGGCCAGTCGCTATGGTAACGGAGCTAAAGTATGCAGAGTGAAGCCGCTTGGCACAGATTAACTTTACACTCTGCGGCACATGCACATTAAATTATAACTTCCTCGTTCACTTCCGATTTTTTTATATCAGTGCTTGGAAGGAAAGTGTGTAGAGTGTGGTCGTCTCATGCACCACAGAAATTTCATCGGAGACTATGATGTGAGCAGCAATTTTTAGCCAAGTACAACATTTTCCAGGTTGGACAAAAAGTATATTCTCCAGATGTCGTACCTTAAGCCTTTATCCACTTCAAAGATTAAATCCAACTTGAAATGACCAAGATTTCAAGGAGTAGCGTCTTATCCTAGGTTGAACATCAATGTAATATATATATATATATATATATATATATATGTGTGTGTGTGTGTGTGTGTGTGTGTGTGTGTGTGTGTGTGTGTGTTTTACAGCAAAAACCCAAAATTACCTCAACATAGATATAATCTATTTCAAGCCGTTCTGTACACGGCTATCATCAGTCTCTAAATGTATGTCTCGGAACATTGTTTTAAATTTATTTTCAATGTCAGTCCTCCTCTCGTAGACGCCTTGTTAATGAGAGTGAGTTTGTGTTAAGGATTGGTAGGGGCGTAAGGTATCACACGCACATTTTATATATATATATATATATATATATATATATATATATATATATATATATTACAGTTAATAAATCCGTTGGTACATAATCCAGGCTAATCCAAGTAATAACAAATATTAAAACTGATCCACAAACAGCTTAATGTTTTTATTATACGGGCCTAAATATTCGAAAAATCTTGTTAGAAAAAAATATGCGTCACCTAAAAGAAACAGTATTTACGATCGGAAAATTGTCGCCATTTTTTTGCGCGTTCTTCGATTTTGATTTTGTCAACTGCACACTAGAGTAGGTCCAGTTGGGCACCTTCTGTGAGAAAAAGAGCACCATGACGCAATTTACTCCATCAGAAATTTGAACACGGCTGGCTGTACTGCTTGACATTCGCACCGAGAGCTCCAAAATGAACATTTCAGAGTGTTCAGGTGTTTACCTGAGGACAATACAGAGGATTCGGAAAGAGTTGAATCAATTGCGCTCAGGATATAGTGCTACCCTGGGTCAAGATTGTGGATTCTGGAAGATCCTATGTCTGGACTCTGTACAATGTCGCTCAAGCAGCAGCAGAACCCATATATATATATATATATATATATATATATATATATATATATATATATATATGAACTTTATTTCAATCCTTCATGAGCTTCTGATCCTTAATTAATGATGAACATGTCATTTTCGTTTCTGATCGATTTTATCACGATTCTTCTGTTAAGCTTAGGGAGTAATTATACATTCTTATTGCTCAATGTTGAAGCCAATAGTTTTTTTTCTAAAAAAAAAAAAAAACTTGAAAAATTCCAGTAAGATATCTTTAATCATTTCTAAGATATAACGGTTCAAAGCTTAATCCTCATTAAGCTTCGATAATTTTGCTGCTATCCGATTTGGATAATTTTGCTGTCACAACCAGTATATATATATATATATATATATATATATATATATATATATATATATATTGCAAGGACTATTTTATGCAGGCCTTCAGTAATGCCTTTATGGATATATATGAATATTAATTTTCTTTTGGACGCTATCTCTCTATTCCGCCTTTCCCCCTCTTCTTTCTCTCTCTCTCTCTCTCTCTCTCTCTCTCTCTCTCTTCCCGTTGCTCTCTGTCTCTCTCACCCACGTTCATCACTCTCGTTCTCTCTCCCTTTCTCATTTCATATTTTGCACTTTATCTGATATCGCAGTGTGTCGCCAACGCCTGTCCAATTTTTACATGGTGTCTGCCTTCCTGGCCCGTTAGAGATAACAGGCTCACCGAGCTAATCTTAATCGAGGTGTCGACGCTGTAGCGAAATATTGTTGGCTCACGGAGCAATGGGTAAGATCTTATAGCGGGGAATATGAGTAATGGAAGAGTTGAATAGTTGGACCACGAGAAAAGAGAAAGCTGAAAGGAAAACTATAAAAAAAAAAAAAAGGAAAAAAAGATTACTAGTTGACTGATTGGATTCAAGAAGCAAAGAAAAAAAAGAAGAAAAAGAAACGGGATTAGGAGCAGGAGGAAAAGGAGAGGGAGAGGGATCGAGAGGAGAAGTTGCGGGAGGCGGAGCGGGAGGAGGAGTGGGAGGAGGAGCGGGAGGAGGTGCGTGGAATAATAAGAAGAAAATGGAAAAGAAAAAAGAGAGATGGTTAAAAAGGAGAAGAAAAAGAAGAAAAAAAGGAAGCGGCGTGAACGAAAAAAAAGAACGAAGAGAAAATGAAGAAACGTAGAAGAAAAAGAAAATCGAGAAGGAAACAGAAAGCGGTATAGACGGGGGAGTGAAGAAGAAAAAGGAAGCAGATCATAGTGTAGAGGCTTAGGAGTAGAAAAAGAAAATCGAGAACAAAAGCAAGAAGAAAAAGAGAATGAAAGGAGGGGGGAGGAAAAGGAAGTGTGAAATGAGGAGGAGGTGGAACAGAAGAAGAAGAAGAATAAGAAGGGGTAGCGAGAAGAAGAAGTAGAAGGAAGAGGAGGAGGGGTAGAAGGAAGAGGGTGGGTAGAAGAAGAAGGAGGAGGAGGGGTAGAAGAAGAAGAAGGAGGAGGACGGGAAGAAGAAGGAGGAGAAGGGGTAGAAGAAGAAAAGGTAGGAGGAGGAGGGGTAGAATAATAATAATGAGGAAGAGGAGGAGGGGTAGAAGAAGGAGGAGGAGAAGAGGAAGAAGAAGAACAAGTATAAGAACACGAAGTGACACAGGAAAGCGACCATGAGAATATATAAAAAGGAAATTAACGAAAGGATAAAAATGAAATGAAACAACAAATGAGGAGAAAGGGTGACGTGAACAATCATCGGAATGGGGTATATATCATACCAGAGAAAAAATGGCGGAAAAGTCGTGAATAAAGCCTTTGATTGAAACCCAATCCGAGGAGGAAGGTTAATTTTTTAAAAGTGACCATGAAAGAAAAAAAGAAGGACAAATATAGCGTTATAGAAGAAGAAGAAGAAGAAGAAGAAGAAGAAGAAGAAGAAGAAGAAAGGCAACGCAGAGAAACGCTAGGAGAATTAGAATGAAGTATAAAGAAAAAGCAAAAAAGAAAATAATTAATGAAGAAATTAGACATGAAAAGAAAAAATATAATAAAAAATAAAAAAGGAAGGAAAATGGCTACATGAGAATAATTAAGCAAATTAACAAAAGGAAAAAGAACTAAAATGAAAGAGACGTAGAAGAAGAAAACGAAGGAGAAAAATGGAAGAGGCTGTAAAACAAAAATGGAGAAAAGAAAAACGATGATGTATAGAAGGAAAGCTGAAAGGAAAACTATAAAAAAAAAAAAAAGGAAAAAAAGATTAATAGTTGACTGATTGGATTCAAGAAGCAAATAAAAAAAAAGAAGAAAAACAAGCGGGATTAGGAGGAGGAGGAGGAATTGAAGGAGTGGGAGAGGGATCGAGAGGAGGCGGAGCGGGAGGCGGAGCGGGAGGAGGAGCGGGAGGAGGAGCGGGAGGAGGTGCGTGGAATAAGAAGAAGAAAATGGAAAAGAAAAAAGACAGAGGGTTAAAAAAGGGAAGCGGCGCGAACGAAAAAAAAACGAAGAGAAAATGAAGAAACGTAGAAGAAAAAGAAAATCGAGAAGGAAACAGAAAGCCGTATAGACGGGGGAATGAAGAAGAAAAAGGAAGCAGATCACAGTGTAGAGGCTTGGGAGTAGAAAAAGAAAATCGAGAACAAAAGCAAGAAGAAAAAGAGAATGAAAGGAGGGGGAGGAGGAAAAGGAAGTGTGAAATGAGGAGGAGGTGGAACAGAAGAAGAAGGGGTAGCGAGAAGAAGTAGAAGGAGGAGGAGGAGGGGTAGAAGAAGGAGGAGGAGGTGTAGAAGAAGAAGGAGGAGGAGGGGTAGAAGAAGAATAAGGAGGAGGAGGACTGGAATAAGAAGAAGGAGGAGGGGTAGAAGAAGAAAAGGTAGGAGGAGGAGGGGTAGAAGAATAATAATAATGAGGAGGAGGAGGGGTAGACGAAGAAGAAGAAGGAGGAGGAGGAGGGGAAGAAGAAGAACAAGTATAAGAGCACGAAGTGACACAGGAAAGCGACCATGAGAATATATAAAAAGGAAATTAACGAAAGGATAAAAATGAAATGAAACAACAAATGAGGAGAAAGGGTGACGTGAACAATCATCGGAATGGGGTATATATCATACCAGAGAAAAAATGGCGGAAAAGTCGTGAATAAAGCCTTTGATTGAAACCCAATCCGAGGAGGAAGGTTAATTTTTTAAAAGTGACCATGAAAGAAAAAAAGAAGGACAAATATAGCGTTATAGAAGAAGAAGAAGAAGAAGAAGAAGAAGAAGAAGAAGAAGAAAGGCAACGCAGAGAAACGCTAGGAGAATTAGAATGAAGTATAAAGTAAAAGCAAAAAAGAAAATAATTAAAGAAGAAATTAGACATGAAAAGAAAAAATATAATAAAAAATAAAAAAGGAAGGAAAATGGCTACATGAGAATAATTAAGCAAATTAACAAAAGGAAAAAGAACTAAAATGAACGAGACGTAGAAGAAGAAAACGAAGGAGAAAAACGGAAGAGGCTGTAAAACAAAAATGGAGAAAAGTTCTTACATTTTTCCGTTTGGTGGAAGTTAGCGAGTACAAAAACTGTCCATTGTCCCAAGCGATTTCGGCCACTTGCTAAAGCATTTTCAAGTTTGTTTGTTTTTTGTTTTTTTCGTTGATGTTACCTTCTGTTCATATTTTGATTGTTTGAGATCTTTGGAGGTTTTGCATTGTTTTAAATACTAGTAGGAGTCTTAGCAATTCGACTTAGCGTCTTTCTGTTTATTTAAAAAAAAACTTTCAGCACGCCACTCCCATTCTTAAACAAGATGAGGTTGATAGTCGGAAAGAAATGTTTTATATACAGGGTATATCTAGTAGAGAGATGTTTCAGGTAATTTAATTTATATAGAATTTTAGTGTTGTCGAGCATAATTTTTCTCATGGATTTCTGTAAATTGTGGGTAGACAGATCTTTTTTTTTATTGCCCTTTGATCTGATAAGAAACACGTGAGGCGTCTAGTCAAGGAAGTGGTAGTCTGTCTGATATAGGTAATAGTTTGAAAAGAAGGCTCAGAATGAACGGTAAGGGTAGATGTTTTACTCCCTCATACCAAACGGAAAAAATAAGAACGCTGGAAAAAATAAATAAAAAGTAAATAAGATTTTCCTTGTTCTTTTTCAGATAAGGCGATTAGCTTTCTCGTAAGAATCATTGAAAAACCCTTTGAGTTATTTAACTAGAAAGAGAACAGGTTAAAATAGTTTTGTGTCAGCCCCACTGTCTTCCCAAATGAGTAATAGTACCAACATTCATACTCTGGCTTTTATTCTGAAAGTTCATTCAAGAACCAAGAGAACAGGGAAAAGGTTTAAAAAAAAGAATGAACAGTAGAGACGAAAACAGGATTGTTACTCCAGGACAGAAAGTTAGAAGGTTAGAAAGGATGAAGATCATCTTGAATAAGTTGGAAAATGATCCTGAAATAATATATATATATATATATATATATATTACTCCATATTAACTTAAGTAAACTTTAAGTAAAAGAGATTACCCAGCTAAAAATAGTCACGAGTTAAATTCATGAACAAAATTCAAACGGATACAGATGTCAACTTAATAATCAATGATAATTTTTTTTTATATCAAACATTATAATCTTTATGGCCCCGCCCAAAATAACACTTTCAAAGTAAAACAAAATGATAGCGTCTTTTTCGAGCCTGTTCTTTGCAAAGAAAATTAGTGACACCTTCTCTCATGACTTCCTTCTCTCTTTTTCTTATGTCTTTTTTCTCCTCTACCCCTTCTATATCAACATATAACTTCCATTAAGTTAACCGTTTAAATGTGTCAATGTCTGGACGTCCTCAAGTAATTTTAAGTAAGAAAGAATAGAAATTTTAAATTGCATCTAACTCCCACGTCTTCTCCCCCCCCCCCGCACTTCCTCGCTTCGTTAATTTACATATGCTTAATACGGCCCGTCAAAAATGTGTAAATTTCTTTTCATTTTTCGTTTCAAACTTTGGAAGTAAATTTGATGATCGCAGTCCTTTAAAAGGGCTGTGGTGAAATAATTTATTACATGGAACCTTAAAGTGGTTTGTTTTTTATTTAAAATATATATATATATATATATATATATATATATATATATATATATATTATGTGTGTATTTAGGCAGCATTTTTCATTCATATATGTTTCATTAAATAATATAGACAAGTATTGTCTATTTATTTTATGTAAATTCTTTTCATAACATCTGATATTCTTAATACCATTATCATTAAACGAATTATTTAATGAAACATCTATGAATATATATATTTGAAGTTTATTTCAATCCTTCATGAGCTTCTGATCCTTAACAATTGGACAATTTTGCTGTTACCCCCGACATATATATATATATATATATATATATATATATACACACACTTTGTGTATTTAGGCAGCAAATTATCTTTAATACAAATATTAGTAAAAGCAACATTTTGTTTCGGCTAATTTTACAAGTTACGAATAATCTTTCTCGGACAAAGAAGGAATTCCATCTGAAATTGCACGAAGTTCATTTCGGAAAAAATGTACAAGTAATATTGTCCAAGCTTTCGACTTTATCAGAGTTAGTAGAGACAATTGGCGAGCGAAGAACTAGTAAGTGTTGTGACGTAGTCTAAGAGTGTTGTGACGTATTCTAACAGTGTTGTGAGGTAGACAGCGTTGTGAATTGGACTCTGTGCTTACGCGCGTGTGTGTACGCAGTACAGAATTGTATAAATATGTAATTGCGTCACACATTATGAAATGGACAAAGTCCGACAATTATTTTTAATTTTTTTTATTTTTATCTTTATCTTTGTCCATTTCATAATGTGTGACGTCATTTGTTTACATTTTGGATACGCATCGAGCAGATATGAATGTACGAGAGAAAATCATGCAGAATTGTAGTTTAAAAACAGTAAAATTGACCTTGCTAACCGAAACGCTCCTCTGTGGCTAAATCGGTATAGCACGTCAGGCTATATGACGGTTCCGTATAGGATTCAGGTTCGATTCCTGTCGAAGGACGCATATTTTCTATGAAAATTTCTCGGACATTCAGGCTGGTAAATGTTGTTTAATACTGTTTATTATAAACGAAGCATTTATTTAAATATTTGTATCTATAAAAAGAACGTATAAACATAAAAAATGTTTTAAAATATAAATGTGTGTTTGCGTGTTTGGGCATATGTGTGTACACGACATTGAAAATTTATATAAATGTGTGTTTGTGCGTTTGTAGGTCTATGCGAATGTGGACGGATGAGTCTGTTTACAAAAAAAAGTAATGAAAAGGAAAACTTTACATAAGTAAAATCACTTCATTTACGCGTGAAATGAACATTAACTGATGAATCAGAGCAGAAATATACTTGTTTTGTTTTTTTTTGCCGAATATATAAACAAAATCCCAACGGAGACACAGCAAGCGATATATTACGCAACTATCTATATTAAAACTTATAAAATATTAGCATACACAAATGTAAGCACTCTGCTTTAAATGTGGAGATTCTTGATAAAATCCAAAGAAAGATCTGTTATGTAATAGATCCTGACCTAGCAACTCGACTTCAGTCACTTTCTAAACGACGTGACCTGGCTTCCCTCTGTCTTTTCTACAAATATTTTCACGGCAACTGCTCTGAAGTGATATTTTATCTAGTACCCAAAATACCTGAATTTAAGCGTGTTACTAAATTGGCATCCATGTTCCACCCGTTTACTGGTGAAAAAGTCAAATGCAACCGCCTCTTCTACTCCAACAGCTTCTTTTCTTGCACTTCCCAACAGTGAAACTCCCTTCCTCTTATTTGCTTCCCTGATAACTAAAATCTTCAAAAATTTAAATGTAACATCAATCGATAGCTTCTGTCTTCTCGAACCGCTTCCAACAAAGATAGATATGAACAGACTGGGATAGATAGGTAAATAGATATATAGATATGAACAGATAGATAGAGAGATGATCATGAACAGACATAGATATGAACAAAGTGAGATAGATAGATAGATAGATAGATAGATAGATAGATAGATAGATAGATAGATAGATAATAAAGAGGGTGATAGATAGATAGATAGATAGATAGATAGATAGATAGATAGATAGATAGATAGATAGATAGATAGATAGATCATCCATGCATGGAAAACTATTGGTATATATGATCTGTTCTCCTGCTGTTCTTGAGGTTCTCGACAAAATCTAAAGACGGATATGCAATGTGATCGATACTCACCTGGCACCTCAACTCTAGTCACTTTCTCACAGACATAATGTGGATTCCCTCTGTCTTTTCTACAAATATTTTCACTGCATCTGCTCTGACAAGGATCCCCCAACTGCATGAATTTAAGCATGCTACTTGGTTGGCATCTCAGTTCCCCACCTTTTGCTGTTGAAACAGTTTAATGTAACCGCCTATTTTACTTCAACAGATTCTTCTCTCTCACTTCCCAACAGTGAAACTACCTTCCTCTTACTTGCTTCCCTGACAACTAAAATCTTCAAAAATTTAAATGCAACATCAATCGACAGCTTCTGTCTTCTCGAACCGCTTCCATCATTTGTTCTTTCTTCAATCCACCCTATACCCAGTCGCCTCTTTCAACTTAATTCCCTGTAACCTCTTGCGTTCTAGTGACTTGTTTATTATGTGTGGGGCGCAGTTGAGCGAGAGAGACCAACAAATCTCCTTGTAACACCAAAGATGAACTAAAGGCAAGGATTATGGCAGCATCCAACAGCTTAAACAAGGAGACCGTCTAGAAGAGATGCAGGAGATTCCGAAGACCGTGGTTGAGGCCAATGGCGATTATATTGAATGAATTTACTCTTTAGTATTTCAAGATATTTTTGTGTAATTTTGGTAAATATATCTGTTAAAATAAGATGTCAGTACATTTTTCATTTTCATTTTTCTGCGTAATTTAAACGACAATTTATCCATCGCACTGTGTGTGTGTGTGCGTGTGTGTGTGCGTGTGTGTGTGTGTGTTTGTGTGTTTCTGTGTTTGCGCGCACGCTTGCTCATGTGTGTGTTTTAAGTTGTGTGTGTGTCTGTGCGACTGTGTGTGTGTGTGTGTGTGTGTGTGTGTGTGTGTGTGTGTGTGTGTGTGTGTATTAGTACATAAATAACTGTACGTGCTACTGGTGCATTTTCATACAAATATAATTGTGTGTGGGTATGTATGTCGATTTCCAAATTCACTGTATTTTCTAGTTCAGCCTTTCTGGCAAATAAATACAAATTCACGCATATATATATATATATATATATATATATATATATATATATATATATATATATATATATATATATGTGGTTGAATACACATGTATAATTAGATAAACACTAGGAGAAAGGAAATTTTGTTTTCTTTTCTTTCACCGTGGGAACTGTAGTATGAAGACAGTGGGACTTTTACAGGGGTGGGGGATGCTGAAAAGTTCTTGGCCCAACCAAGGAGGAATTTTAAAATTATTCTGCTACTTGGTTCAAGTGCCATACACGATACACGCTTCGGGTGATCACATCTCTTTCGATACTTAACAGAACGATGCCGTTTTTTTTTCTGCAGTAGACTGGATGCCAACCAGAACTATAGGAGCCAGTCTATCCTATTGCTCAGCCCATCGCTAGGAGAATAGAGAAGAAGTAGGTTCATATCTTCCCTAATGGTATTTGCGCGTGAGTGACTAAAACGAGCCCTACTGAAATTCGTATTCGGCTCCCCGATTTCTCATCACGAGAATTATATATATATATATATATATAACCAACACAATTATATATATATAATCAACAATATCACTTGACAAGACGCCAGAAATGTTGAAACAGGATGGGTATTTTTGTAGTGCTGTTATAACATGCGGTATAATACGGTATAATCCAGGATTCACCTGGATTATACCAACGAATATTACCTGTATATATATATATATATATATATATATATATATATATATATATATATATATATTTCAAAAATTTGATATCATTTCGCAATCTAATAACTTTGTTAGATCTCCTTCAAATGACTTCAAATTTTAATAGCATCTTTATGTTTAATGTTTGTTTTATGTTTTTATGTCTTTATGTTTTTGTTTTTCTTATTTGTATTTTTGTTCTTTAATCTTTAATCTTTTTCTTTACAGGTAGAAAAATGCCGTGTCTCAGGCGGTTCGCAGATTGAACATTTGTGAAATCGTTCACATAATCCACATGCTTTTGAATTTCTCATTCAGATTTGGAAGAATAAATCTCATGATCTTCAACATTAATACTTTTTAATTTCATTTGCCTTAATCATGTACTTTCTGTGATGTTTACATCTCAAAGGATATCAAACTTTTTAAACACCCTGTATATATATATATATATATATATATATATATATATATATATATATATATATAGTGAGACATGTTTTATTGAATAATTTAGACAAGTTTTGTCTACTTATTTTCAGTTGGATCCTTTCATATTCACGGCCAAGCTTTTTAGTGTCATTATTAAAGGAAGAGAGAATATTACTCAACTCACCGTTCTTCACTTCACAAGTAAAAAATGATGAACGCATCAATTTTGTCTTTGAAAATGATGAACACTACAATATTTTTCTTGAAATCAACAACACCCTGATGATGACATAAATACATATATATATATATATAAAGAGAGAGAACATGTATAAATATATAACATATATATATATAGAGAGAGAGAAAAACTTGTATAAATATATATATAACATATATATATATATAGAGAGAGAGAGACAGAACATGTATAAATATATAACATACATATATATATATATATATAGAGAGAGAGAGAGAACATGTATAAATATATATAAAAATATATATATATATATAGAGAGAGAGAGAACATGTATATATATATAAATATATATATATATACATGTATAAATATATAATATATATATATAGAGAGAGAGAGAGAAAAACTTGTATAAATATATATAATATATATATATATATATATATATATATATATATATATATATTTAGAGAGAGGGAGAACATGTAAATATATATATACATATATATATATATAGAGAGAGAGAGAACATGTATAAATATATATAAAAATATATATATATAGAGAGAGAGAGAACATATATATATATATATATATATATATATATATATATATATATATATATATATATATATACTTGACTCTCCTGTCGATTCGAAGTATGAGGGTCAAGATTAGTTCCTAGGAACCGACAGCACGACACCAACGCATGAGATTTCAATATAGTTGTGAAGGTTTCGTGCAGAACGATCCACACTTTTTGAAGAGCCGAATACAAAGACCTGGTTCAGTACGTGCCTCAAGGTCCCCAAACGGCCCTTTGCAGGTTTTGAAATCAGAGATGTCCATCTCCTGTTGCCATCCAAGGCTATTTACCCATAGCTGTAGGGAGAAGAATAGGCTTCATATCTTTCCCAACGATATTAGCATGTAATTCGAACTCGACAAACCATTCATATATATATATATATATATATATATATATATATATATATATGTACAATGTCCGATATATATATATATATATATATATATATATATATATATATGGACAAAGTCCGACAATTATTTTAAGACATTTTAATGTTTATACATCCTTTGTATAGATACAAAAATTTAAGCAAATGGTGTTTTATAATAAACAGTATTAATGACATTTAAAGAAAATTTCATAGAAATTATTTGTCCTCCGACAGGAATTGAACCTGTATCCTATACGGAACCGTCATTTAGCCTGACGTGCCTTAACTACAGAACAGCGTCCGGTTAGTTAGGTCGATTTTACTGTATTTAAACTTCAATCTTCCATGAATCTCTCACGTATATTCATATCTGCTCAAAGCGTATCCAAATGTAAACAAATGACGTCACACATTATGAAATGGACAAAGTCCGACAATTATTTTAAGTCATTTTTATGTTTATACATTCTTTTTATATTTCATTTGTTTGCATCACTCCTAGCAACTGTTTAAATATATTCATTTCATTTTAAGTCTATGGAAAACGTTAGGAGGTGCAATGAGAAACTCTCCTGGAGGTTAGCATCAGCCATACTGATGGAAGGCTAAAAGGTTTCTCTCGGACGATTAAAAGAGGAGAGAGTCGTTATGGAGTGATGGCATGTATCTTCTTAGAATTTCACGAATCTGATTAAACCTCGTCACCGCTCTAGTACTGCGCTTAAATTAATAAAGTCTAGGTGCCATTGAGGAAATTTCATCGGAACAATAACTATGAAAATATTTATGGAAAAGGAAAAGGAAAGCCTGGTTGCGGCGGTGGGGAATAGACTGAAGCCGAGATGCCAGGTCAGGACAAATAACATTGCACATTCTCTGTATTTTATCAAGAATCATTAAATAACTAGCAGGAGCACTAGAGCAGATGTGGCAACAATATTCAATGCATGGACGAATGGTTGACTTATAAATGTTTAAGATAGATTCTGTCGAGCAAAAATTGTCTATCATGATTTAGGGAACGAATATTCCTAGCATCACTCCCAGCAATTGATTCAATATAATCATTTCACTTCAAGTCTGTGGAAAACGTTTTCGCCTTTGTAAATAACTGTCCCTTTTAATTTAAAAAAAAATAATTTCATCTCAAGCAAGGCGTTAAAACCACTACGACGCAAGCAGTCGCTGAGAAACCGTAGAGAAGGCAACGAGAAAAAACTCCACAAAATTTCGAAAGTGTCTATCGTAATTCACAAATAACAAAGAAAAAGAATCTGTGGGAAGTGTACCTCCCGAAGGCACATCGTAAGAAGTAAAAATACATAGGAAAACAAGAAGAAATGAGTATTAACTGTAAAAAAGAACGTGTGGTCGTAAGCAAAAGAGACTAACCAAGGTATGAGTTACGTAATGGAAACGTCAAATTCAAACACGTATAGAAATTTAACTTTCTGGGTAATATAATAACAGACGACAGAAAATGTGATACAGTAATCTGAAGGTGCGAAGGAAGAGCTAAAGATGGCTTTCAGAAACTAAGCAAAGTATTAAGAGTTAGGAAAATTTCCTTAGAAACAAAGAAAAGAGTTCTGAACTGTTGTATAGTGATTTGCTAAGCGTAGCTTCGATGTGGTATATGTCCGAAAGTATGGAACACCCAGTGAGGATCGAACTCAGCACTCAGTCGTAATTGATCTAGTGAGACAACCTTTCTAACCATTACACCACGTCAAAATGCCCCCAGGACTGTTCTATACTATTTAAACTCAGATATGACTGTGATCGCCAGACAATTTCTTCACAGTTGAAGGAACCCGACGTAAAAGAAATTTGGTTCAACTAAGATTTTTGGACTACAATTAGAAGAATAAGGATTCTGTTTTGGATTTTATTTAGAATCTCGAAACACCTAATAGATGTACCAGACCAAATGTGGCAGAAATATTGAATGCTTGGACGAATGGTCGACTTATGAATGTGTAAGATAGATTCTGTCCAGAAAAATTGTCTTGATCGACACAGTGAACCAATTGCTCAATCAACAGACTGATTCAATATAACCTTTCCACTTCATATCAGTGGAAAACCCGAGAAGGCACAAAGAGTAATTCTCCTGAAGGTTAGCATCAGCCATACTGATGGAAGGCTAAAAGGTTTCTCTGGGACGATTAAAACAGGGGAGAGTCGTTATGGAGTGACGGTATGCATTTTCTTAGATGAGACTTCGCCACCAATCTAGTAATGCACTTAAATTAATAAAGTCTAGGTACCATAGAGGAAAATTCATCAGAACAATTACCAAGAAAATATTTATTGGAAAAAGAAAAGGAAGGCCGGATTACGGCGGTGGGAAAGTGACTGTAGCCGAGATGCCAGGTCAGGACAAATGACACTGCAGATTCTTTTTGAGATTTTATCAAGAATCACTAAATACTTATCAGAAGCACCTGACTATATGTGGCAGCAATATTCAAAGCATGGATGAATCGTAGACTTATAAATCTGTAAGATAGATTCTGTCGAGAAAAAAATTGTCTTGCATAATTTAGGGAACGAACATTCCGAGCATCACTCACAGAAATTGATTCAATATAATCATTTGACTTCAAGTCTATCAAAAACGTTAACCCGAGAAGACGTAAAGAGTAACTCTCTTGGAGGTTAGCATCAGCCATATGCTAATGGAAAACTGAAAGGCTTCTCTCGGACGATTAAAAGAGAGAAGATTCGTTTTGGAGCGATGGCTTTATAGAACTTATCGATTAAGTGGTACAGTGAACCGACCATTTTTCCTGCATCTTTAGCGATGATTCATATGAACGGGATCCACTTGAGGTGATGGTTGGGTTTATGCCCCAATAAGCGCCTGCGGCACGGGGTCTCCCCGAGAGAACCCCCTTTATGGCGACAGGCAAAAATCTAGGATCACCGCATACATACACTTGCGTCCCTGCAACTTTCTATTCTTAATAGAGCTCTTTCATTTCCTGTTAGGTAGGTAGGTAGGTTTCTCTTTGTTTCCTGATATCCATCTCGCCTTCACTGTGTCAAAATCTTCAAGTCCACTTTACTCAATGTGTGTCCCAGAAATTCCCAGGTCATATTGGCAACTGATCTCAAAAATGACCTACTGTGGCAAGGAATCGCTTGTTAATTTTAACACCTTCAAAATGCTTTGAATATTGCTGCCACATCTGGTCTGGTACTTCAGTTTTCTATTTCGAGACCCGTGATAAAAACCCAAAATTGAATCTGCAATGTCAGTGGTCTTGATCTGGCATCTCGGCTTCAGTCACTTTCCCACCGTGTCAGTTTCTTTTCTTGTACTTCACGTCTGTTGAACTCTCTTCCTGCTTTTAGGTTACATCCAAGTTTGTTCTTCAAAAATTTAAATGTAATGTCAATCGTTATCCTCTGGCTTATATTCTTCCAGTGGCTTATAATTTGTGTTTTTCTTATATTCTTAAATATTCTTATATTCTTATATATCTTATATATTCTTATATATTTCGTATATTCTTATATTCTTACATATTCGTATATTCTTATATATTCGTATATTCTTAAATATTCATATATTCTTATATATTTATATATTCTTATATATTCTATATTCTTAAATATTCGTAATTTCTTATATTCTTACATATTCTTATATTCTTATATATTCGTATATTCTTATATATTCGTATATTCTTATATATTTCGTATATTCTTATATAATAGTATATTCTTATATATTCGTATATTCTTATATATTCTTATATTCTTACCTATCGTATATTCTTACATATTCGTATATTATTATATATTCTTATATTCCTATATAATTATATATTGTTATATATTCGTATATTCTTATAGATTCTTATATATTCGTATATATTCGTATATTCTTATATATTCGTATATTCTTATATTCTCTCACACTCAGTAACCCTTTGTGTTTTAATGGCTTTGGTGCCTTGCTTGGGGTTAAATGATAAAAAAAAATATCAGTGATATTTTGCCGCTGTTTTTCTGAAAACGTCTTCGTTAGCCGCGTTCTGTCAAAGGTATTATCTCCTGTCTTTTGAATAATAGAGTTTTATCCCTTGTTTCCTGTTTAGGATTGGGTTTCTGGTTTCTTCTAAAATCTGGTTCAACTCTATACTTCTTACGTCTTCACCTGAAATCTGAAATTTATTTTTATTTTTATTTCTTTCCTCAATAGGAGTAGATAGGTTTGCCTGTCATCCTGTTAACCCTCCTCCACGTTCTTTTGAACAGGAGGTTTATCACTTGTTTTCCGTTTAGGATTAGGTTTCCAGTTTTCTCTAAAGTTTACTCATTCTCTTTTACTTCCAGTAACCTATTAGTAAAGAAAAATGAAAGAAAAGAGAGAGAACGAACAATACGAATAGGCAAAGAAAGAAAGAAAGAGAGAGAGACAAAAGAAGTAAAAGAAAGAAAATGGAAGAAAAAAGAAAGAAAGAAAATGGAAGAAAAAGAAAGTAAAAGAAAGAAAGAAAGAAAAATGAAAGAAAAAAGAAAGAACGAACAATACGACTAGGCAAAGAAAGAAAGAAAGAAAGAAAGAAATTGAAAGAAAGATTTTGTAAAAAAAATAAATAAATATTACCAGCAATACATTTTTGTAAAGTAAATTACTAATTCCCCCAAGAAAATTAAATTTTGACATTAAATGACCCATGAGGAATCGATATGCCGCTAAACAAACATGTAAACATAGCAGTGCAGCAATCTTTCGCTTTCTGATTGAGTTTTTCTGTTTCATTAAACAATAATTTTCTTTTTCCATTGTCATTAACAATTACCTGGTTACCCACATGTTATTTGTACGCTATTCTCAGCATCCTTCTGTAGAACCACATTTCTGTGGCCTGAAGTCTCTTCTTCATCTGTGAAGAGATTGTCCCTCATTCGCTGCCGATATTACATGGCAGTTCGATACTGCTTTCTTTCTTATAAGATAGTTGGGTGTGTTTGCATGTATGTGTGTATGTTTATGTGAATGCGGATGTGCGTGTGTGCGCGCGCGCGCGAGTGTTATTTGGCGTTAGCTCTCACTTTGTTTAGACCTGGAAGCTGACTTCTATAAGAAATCAAACAAGAAAGAAAGAAAGAAAGAAAGAAAGAAAGAAAGAAAAGAAAGAAGTGCAAAAAAAAGAACCAAAATATTGAAAAACGTATTGAGTCGAAAGAAGAAAAACAAAATGGAAGGAAGGAAGGAAGGAAGGAAGGAAGGAAAATGTTTTATGAAAATAGACAGACGAATGTAAAATGATTAAATGTAGAAAAGAAAAGATATGAAGGAAGAAATAAACAAATGTTGTAGAGATTATAGGAAAAGAAAGAAAGAAAGAAAGAAAGAAAGAACGATACGAATAGGCAAAGAAAGAAACTGAAATAAAGAAGCAAGTACACAAAAAAGATCAAAATGCTAAAAACAAAGACATGAAAGAAAACAAGCGGCGAAAAAGAAAGAAAGAAAGAAAGAAAGAAAGAAATAGAAGCGACTTGATGAATAAAAGAAAGATGCGAATTGAAAAATATCAAGAGCATGAAAGAAAGAAAGAAAGAAAGAAAGAAAGAAAGAAAGAAAGAAAGAAAGAAAGAAAGAAGGAAAGCAAAATATTCATAAGAGCATAGAAAATAGAAAGAAGGAAAGAAAGAAGAAAATGAAAAAGAAGCAATAAAAAGAGCAAGACATTCATAAGAAAGAGAACAGAAAGAAAGAAAGAAAGAAAGAAAGAAAGAAGGAAAGAAAGAAAGAAAGAAAGAAATTGAAAGAAAGAAAGAAAGAAAGAAAGAAAGAAAGAAAGAAAGAAAGAACAAAAGATGAAATAATAAAGGAGAAGTAAATTTCTGAAGAAAGAAAGAAAGAACGATACGGATAGTAAAAAGACGAGATCAAGCTAAAGAAAGAAAAAGAAAGAAGTACACAATCAAATAAAATACGAACGTGAAAAAGAAAGACACGAACAGAAAGAAAAGGTCAAACAAAAGAAGAACAATGTTAACAGAAAGAAATGAAGCATAGAAAGAAAGAAAGAAAGAAAGAAAAGAAAGAAAAGAAAAAGAAAAAGAAAGCGATCAAGCGAAAAAGAAAGACACGAATTGAAAATAAAAAAAATAAGCAAAAGAATAAAAAGAAAAAGAAATTTTTAGATTTGCTTAAGATTTGGAAGACTCGTTTTCCTGAACGTTTATTTTATCAAGATGGAGGAGGCAGTTGTTAAGTTTGGAATAATAGCGAGAGATGGCAAAAAATGAAGAGACCATTGGGTGGGGAGATGAATCGGGCCAAAATAAGCGTAAAAATAATTAATGAGTCTAAATAGTTTTGAAAGAAAAGGTCATGAGTTCTACAGATAACAAGACCCGAACGAAAAACAAGAATCGAAAGAAAAAAGAACCAAAGAAAATGAACCATTAAATAAGACGCAGAAGGAGAGACTTAAAGAAGAGGTCAGAAAATAGTAGAAATGAATTGTGTGAGAAAAGAAGGCCTTCGTCGGTTGCCAACGAGCAAGTGTAAAAATGTTAAGAGTGGCTGTCGGCCATTTTGAATCAATGATCAAAAAAAAAACCCCAAAAACCTGAAAGATGCAAGAAAATGCCGGGAAGATTCAAGGGAAACGAAAGATTAGAAATATTGATGAGATATGCGTGTGTGTGCGTGCGTATGTCTTTAATGGTTTTTTAATAGTATGTCTTTTTTATTTGTTTGTTAAAAAGTTTATTTTGACGTTACTTTGTCACGTTTGTACTTCTTTTTTTCCTTCCTTCTTTTCCGTTTTTGTCTTTGTTTGTCTTACTGTCGCTTTAATTACTTTCTTTCTCTCTCGTTTTACTTTTTTTTATTTCATTTGCATTATTCTATTTATTTCTTTACTTTCAAATAACTATCGCAGTAGATTATGTGACAGCAAGTCTTCTCAATTCTCCAGCACCTTCCTCAGTATCCATTATTATTATATTTTTTATATTTTCATGTTTCCATCAGATGTCTAGTGGTTATCGACGGAGATTAAGTGAAAGCAAGTCACCACAAATATCCAGCACCTTCCTCAGTATCTATAATGATTATATTCGCCCTTGCATGGAGTATTGCTGCCATATATGGTCTGGAGACCCTTCTGTTTGTCTCAAGGTCCTTGATAAAATCCAAAGACGGATATGCAATGTAATTGGCCCTGATCTGGCATCTCGTCTGCAGTCGATCTCTGGCAGACGTTCCGTTGCCTCCCTCTGTCTTTTTTACAAATACTTTCACTTAACTGCTCCGATGAGCTGCTTTCGCTGGTTCCCAGACTTCATGAATTTAAACGTTCAACTAGACTGGCATCTCGCTCTCACCCTTTCACTGTCGAAACTGTTAAATGTAGTCGTCTCTTCTACTCCAATAGCTTCATGTCTCGCACCTCTCGCCTGTGGAACTTCTCCCCCTTTTCTTGTTTCCCTGATAGCTGTAATCTCCGACTATTCAAATGTAATGTCAATCGACGTCTCCAGATGCCTTGATCTATCCCCTATCCTTCTCTTCATCCTTTCCTCTATCACTCCTATCTGCTCTCGCTCCAACTCTCTGTAACCCCTTGCGTGGCTTCCCGCCTTGGTTGGAGTGAAACGCTTA